CAGAGACCACTGTAGAGAGCAAGCTGACAAGGAGTGGAAGACCATTATGGAGGGCAGCCTTTGAATGAGTGGTAGTTGGTAATGGCAGACACCACTGTGCCAACCTCATGTGAGGAAAACTTTAGACTCTTCTAAATCCCGAACACACAGATTTCCTGGGCGCCTTGTCCACTTGAATCAATTCTTAAGAGAAGGGGCAATGCTATGTTTTTGTTATTTACAGAAAGTCACATCTCCATCCAGGGCCAGAGCTACAACTCAGATCTGATCCCTTTGATCAAAAATCATGCAACCGAGTACTTTCCCCCCCACCTAAAAAAAAAAAGTTAAAAAAAGAAAAGAAAATGAAACTATAGAATAACCAGGCTAGGAGGAACTAGTTTTTCCTTAATGGACCTCAACAAAGCCCTATTTCCTTCTCCCCAACCCCTTTAAATTTTTAAGGAGCAGCAACTGTAACACTCTTTCATTGCTTACAATCAGTGTGTTGTCCAGATGCAGAGACCCAAAGTCAAACATTAGGCTGAGTGTGGTGATATTTTACTTGTGCTGAAATGTGGTGATGTTTTATTTGTATGTTAATAAATAAAGTTTGCCTGGAGATCAGAGGGAATAGCAAGCCATTAACACAAAAGTCAGGCAGTGGTAGCACATGCCCTTAATCCGATCACTTGGCAGGCAGGGTCTCTGTGTGTTCAAGGACACACTAGGGAACAGCCAAGCATGGTGACACATGCCTTTAATCCCAGTACCAACCATAGAGACCCGGAGGTCTTTACAGACAGGCAGTGACAAGGAAGTGAGGTAGCTGGGCTAAGAGCCAATGAGAGGACAGAACAGCAAGGCAATAAAGGCTCAGGTTAGACAGGAAGCAGTCTCTTTTGGTAGCTGCAGAGCTGGAGAGGTAAGGTTGGTGGCTCTCACTATTTCCCTGATCTCTAAGGCTTTCACCCCTATATTTGGCTTCGTGTTTCTTATTTAATAAGACCGTTTAGAAATTCATCTACAGCTGAGCTCAGGGAATCCTGCTAAAGAGGGGGGGGAAAGGATTGTAGGAGCCAGAGGGTCAAGAATACCAAGAAACCCCACAAAATCAACTAACTGGGCTCCTAGGAGCCACAACGACTGAGCCAACAACCAGGGAGCCTGCATAGGACTGACCTAAGTCCCCTGCATATATGAGACAGCTATGTAGTTTGGTCTTCTCGGGGGGGGGGGACTCCTAATAGTGGGAGCCGGGGCTGTCTCTAACTCTTTTGCTGGCTTTTGTGACCCTATTCCTCATACAGGGTTGCGTTGCCCAGCTTTAATACAAGGGGAGGTGCTTAGTACTACTGTAATTTGATAATTGCCATGTTTTGTTGCTGTCCATGGGGGGCCTGCCCCTTTTAGAACAGAAACAGAGGAAGAATGGATTGGGGGGGCACACAGAGGAGAGGGGAGGGAAGGAAATGGAAGGAGAGGAGGGAG